CGCTGCAGCCGGGAGCACCAGTGGGGAGGGAGGAGCAGCAGCCGCTGCGGACTTGCCCACCCAGCAGGTGCAAGGGCGACGGGAGCCAGTCCGCCCTGCGCTCCCCCCAGCAAATGTCTGGCTGCTCCAGCAGCACGTGGGGCCTGGTGGACCCTCCTCGGACCTGTTGCGTGTTGCCCACAGACACCATGGAGAAGAAACTCCGTCCCTAGCGAGAGGGGGCTCCCCCCAGTGCCCTCTCTTTATTTTAACTTGCCCACCCAGCAGGTGCAAGGGCGACGGGAGCCAGTCCGCCCTGCGCTCCCCCCAGCAAATGTCTGGCTGCTCCAGCAGCACGTGGGGCCTGGTGGACCCTCCTCGGACCTGTTGCGTGTTGCCCACAGACACCATGGAGAAGAAACTCCGTCCCTAGCGAGAGGGGGCTCCCCCCAGTGCCCTCTCTTTATTTTACAATTGGTGTGTGTTGCATGCAACCTTTGCAGATCCCTCAGCTGATGGGGCTTGTTCTTCACGGGCGCAGGAAGCTCCTTTCTCTCGCCGATTTCTCCCTCAGAGCATCTTTCCTCGCCTGCCCTGTCTCCCTCCGCTCCTACCCCCCAAATCTGGGCTAGTTGAACTTCTCAAAAACGTCCTCACTGCAACACCAGCATCGCCAAAGGGGGGATGAATTGTTGACAGAAGGGGGGGACAAATCTGGCCTTTGGATCTGGAATGTTTCCTCGGCTTATGTCAAGCCCTATGCTAATGGAAGCAGGAAACGCCAAAAGAAAGACTGTAAAGTGAAATACTGTCCCTTTGATTCCCCAATTCCTTCCCCAACATATCCCCGACTTCCTTAAGTCCTCTTCTAGGGACGCTCATACAAATTTCATTCTTAATTTACAGGACAGGAAAAGTCTGTTAGTTCCTCCAGACCAGTAGGTCTCACCTTAAGACTGTAAATTTGTACATTTCTGTGGAAACGTTAAGTCTTTCATTGACAATATGTTGCTTTCTTTGGCCACATTTGAGTCAGTTTTAGACTCAAAAAAAAGGGGGGAGGGGAGAAAAGAACGCCTTTCAGAGTAAATACAAATATTGCGTTACCATTTAGGGATCGCAATTTTATCTAAGGTTAAATCAGACTTTTTGTCTGAGTGATAATTATATATTTATTATTTAGCTTAACTGAAACAGAGGTGGTTTTGACAGCAGAAGAATATTCTCATTTTCCAAGAACAGTTCCCCCATCAAATATGAAGTGTTTCAATGTGTTTTGGAGTCCCCATCCTACCTGCTTAGGTTATTTTTGGAGCAACTGCAATTCAATTGCAAATAATGAATATAAAACAGAAAAAAATTAGAGAAAAACCTTCCTCAATTAGAGTTTTTTTCTTGTTGTTTGTTTTTGTTTTTTACTTTTGTAATGTGTATATTTTGACTAATGTTTGTGAATGAAGCTGGCTAACATGTATTTAGTTTCGTTTTGGCTCTATGTAATATAAAGCAAAAAGTTTAAGTATCGGTTTTAACATTTACATGTAAATGGGTTTTTTTGTGTGATTTTCTAATTTAAAATTAGACGTCTAAACTATATCTGTAAATTAGAATCCGACTACCACTCTGTTCATTTTTGAACAAAGAGTTTAAATAAAGCCTGAAGCAGGGAAAAG